AAGCTCCTGATAAGAAAACAGCAATGTTTTCTTACAGCTATTGGAATTAGTGTAGATTTTGTATGTTAAAATGTCACCTTTCTCCAACTGGTTGGCATGCAGATTGAAGGATGTGGTCTGAATCAACTGCTAGTTTCTGCCTGTGATAGCCACATGGATCCTGGCAGAGCACTGACTCCAGCAAACTGACAAACCTTGATTAGCCAGTACTTACCTTTGCCTTTGGGCTCACTGATTCACATTTTTAGCAAATATTTTGGCCTACTTCTGAATCATTTAAATTACATACCAGGTAATAGCTCTCTTCACATTGCTCCATCTTAACATTCTGCTCCTACATTTCTAAAAGTACACTTTAATGATTCTCAAGTACTAATTCAAAAACAAATTTTCAATGCAGAAATTAAAAACAATCTGAAAACAGATTATGTATCATTATCCCACCTGGCAGAATGCAACAAACATCATAAACCCATATCACTCACAACACAGTAATGCAGCTAAAAATGGTCTTAGTGCTCTTAAAAGAAAACTTCAAGAGATGTCTTACTATAGTTGTGAGAAAAAGGTATGATTTACTGCAGCACAGCCCTGCCTAGAATGCTGGCTGAGGTTTCCATGGTTAACCTAAATTAAAATCAATTCCATATTTTTTGGCAGAAGGTCTATAAGCTAATTTTCATCTTTCTTCAGCTATAATTAAAAACATAGGGAAAAGGCTTCATATGCTTCAAGTATGAAGGTACATTACAGTAGACATTTTTGCTTTTAAATGGCTACAACGCTCACCTTAATCAAGTTAAAATTAAGCGGGAAAGCAGAATATCATTATTGCCTTCTTGTGATTATACAGGTAACAATAAATATACCCCGTGCCTACAGGGGAATAACACCCTGTGTGCTAGACTTGGTTGCTTTTTCTAAAAGGAAGTGAACCTTAATGCAGTTTGATCTGCAGTCACCGTACACTTCTGTTGCAAGAATTACTAATAAGTAACTCAGAAACAACAGAGAAGGGCAAGGGCACCTAAAAGGCTTTTCACAGCAATATTCAAAAGATACTCATAGTAAAGATGCGAAATGTGTAACACCAAAGGGAAACATAATGGCATAAAATGAACAGGAGTCTGACTTCTGTTCACATGCAAAATCTGCTTTGTCCATATAACAAGTGAGCTGATAGGTTCAATGTGAGAGAACCTCACAGTTCAGACCAGATCACCTCTGGAGGTGGAGACAAGAAACAAGATGCTTCCAAAATAGTCCTCTCAGCAGATTAAAACCACCCTGATTTTATAAAGGTTCTCTGATGACTTCCTAGGAAGCAGCCAGCAAATGCACAATCACAGATTAAGGTTATTCTTCTTATGAGCACTTAAAAGGCATGACATTACATTAAAGGTAGCTTTAATAAAAGCTCAGAGTTCACTTAATCACCATCATATCCACTTCTCTGTATCAAGTACATCATCCACTGTTTATAACCCTTCACAAGTTCTATTTCCTATGGTCTCTTATTCTAAATATATAGGTGTTTAAGATTAATTGAAAGAACAGTAAAATAAATGTAAATATAAACTTTTTCTACCTCTTAATACACTTAATTTTTAGAATTAGTCCTGCACAGCCTGCAACTTAGTGACACTTTGTTAACATACGGTTGCTACAACTGCTACAGATTGTGCTCAGTAATCTCTCTTTGTGGCACTACGGGTTTGGTAGCTCATATTTCACCTCTGGTGGATGAGGTACAGATCTTGATTTTGGAAATTGCTGTGGTTTAACCCCAGCTAGCAATTAAACACCACACAGCTGCTTGCTCACTCCCTCCAGCAGGACGGAGGGAAGAGAATTAGAAAGGTAAAAGTGGAAAAACTCATGGGTTGAGATAAGAACAGTTTAATAGTAATAATAATAGTAATAATGATAATAATAATAATAAATTGTGATGAAAAGGAAAATAACAGAGACAGAGAAATAAAACCCAAGAAAGACAAGTGATGCAAATTAAAACAATTGCTCACCACCAATCGACCAATGCCCAGCCAGTCCCCCAGACAACCTTCTCCCTAGTTTTAATGCTGAGCATGACATCAAACAGTATGGAATATCCCTCTGGTCAGTTGGGGTCAGCTGTTCTGGCTGTGTCCCCTCCCAACTTCTTGTGCACCCCCAGCCTCCTCGCTGGTGGGATGGGGTGAGAAGCAGAAAAGGCCTTGACTCTGTGTAAGCACTGCTCAGCAGTAACTAAAACATCCCTGTGTTATCAACACTGCTTTCAGCACAAATACAAAACATAGCCCCATAGCAGCTGCTGTGAAGAAAATTAACTTTATCCCAGCCAAACCAGCACAGAAATGATTTGAGGAGGTGGGGAAGAAAAGCAAAGCATGGTGGATTTTCCCAAGGCCTGTTCAAACCCAGTGGCCTCACCCCCTTTCCCATCCTTCTCACTCTTAAAGACTGACACTCTTAAGCTAAAAAAAGGCTTTGGGTTGAAATAGTAAGTGTGTGCCATGTCTAACTGAAAGATATTAGCCTGGTTTTGTGAACAGCACTGACTCCAAAGTCAGTTCTACAAGTACTCATCAATAGACCACTTGGGGAAGGAATGGGTAAAATAAGGTAGGGGGAACCATTTTTACATTTTGAACTCTTCACTGGCAAATAGAAACCCTCTCTTTAGAGGAGCTTGCTTTGAGTAATTTAAAAATACACAAACAGAAGCAACCCTATTAAAAGTCTTAAAACTGCATTTGTTCAGTCAATATGAGAAGAAAGAATACTATTACTTGGATAGTGTTTTTCTCCCTCTCACCTTTCAACCCCTATTCACATACAACCAAAGTCATATCTGAATAAATTCCTCTGGCCTTCATTACATACCATCCAGCATTATTTATTTTCATATAGAATCATTGGTGTATAGGATAGCCAAACACTCCATTAAGAGAGCTGTTTGTGAACTGAAGAGGAGAGGTAGCTTCCAGTCTGAAAATTCAAGAGGGGAAAAATCCCCAGGTTAGATGTGGAAGGACCCAGAAACAGAAGCCTGCTTATCTTCAGCACGTGAAAAGTGATGGCTGGAACAGGGCGAACAGAGTGGAAAGTAAGAAATAACAACGCCCAAAGATTTCAGCTTTGTGAGAAGACCATAGAACAAGCAGATAAAAGCATATAAGATTAAGCAAATTCATCTGAATTAGACTCCTGGGCATTAAGCAAGCCAGAAATAGCAACAGTGCACAGGGGAAAGCCGTTCACTTCATCAGAGAGATGGCTAGGAGTTAAATTTTCTCGTCTGCCACAGGCTTTCTGGTTAATGGCGGGGATGTCACTCAGTCTGTGCCTCGGTTCCTCATCCATAAAGCAGGATGTTGTGCAGAAAAGTCACAAATGGTTCAGGGGACAGTCAAGTGATAAGGGCAAGATATGAACCTACACAGACAGCCATTCCTAACAGATCCCTGATGAACAAAAGAAAGGAAGAGAAAGAGAGAGAGACTGGCTATAGTGACCTGACCTACCTGAATTTTAGAGGAATGCAAATGTTACAGACCATGACAGATGGATGCACAACCACAAGAAAGAGAGATAAACCTCTGACCACAAAAGCCTGGAGAGAAAGAAAAATTTCACCAATGAAGAATGGAGACAATGCAGATAATTTTAGTCAGCCTTGTCATTTGGATGTAAGAGCAAAATGAGTATCTGAATGTACCCTCAAAGGAATGCTCTCTAATTTTAGGGAGGTGTTATTTGGGCACCATCTACTGCTATGAATAGTGGGTACAGTCTATTCTTATCAAATATACAGGAGAAAAGCATGGGAAAGTTATAGACAGGAAGAAATATGTTTCCTGCTTGGGGGTGCAAGAAGGGAAGGGGTGGGAAATTCTTTCAAATATAGAGAAAATGGGGAGAAGTTTCTTGCCACACACAACTTCAGCCTAAGAAACTTGCACACTGGGATTATTCCATCCAGATGTGAGTTAACAGGCAGAATGGAGGGTAACTGGTACAAGTGGTTATTAAATAAGATACAGGTAGTCACAAGAGGAACCTCATGTACCAAAAGAAGCAAGCAAAGAAGACAAGCAGTTTGCAAACAGACTGTCTGGTTGCAGAGAGGATCAGAGGGGCAGAGGAGACAGATAGCTGATCAGAGATGAAATTTTTCCTGAGGGCACAAACAACCCTCCTGAATACATGTGAGTTTATTTGAGCAGGTTTCAGCATACAAAGGGGCCAGAAGGAAGCAGGGAATGGATGGCACTGAGGCAGCATGCGGTCACAGTGACAGTATTTCCTTGTAAAACGCTGAGAAACTGCTGGAAATCTTTACTATCCCTCTGGCCATTCCCACCTCACTATTTGTTCTAACCCATACTTGAAAAAGAGCTTTTTAATATATATGTATATATAAGTAAGTAAAATAAGTAACCAACAACGGCATATGTATAAGTCCTTGCTAACCTGAAATTCATTCTTTGTTATTTTCAGAGTGGCAAGTATGACAAAGCAACATATGTTAGCTGCAGGAGGCATGTCCCTGTCCCAAGCAGCCTGCTCCTGCCTTGGAAAGTCTAAAAACACAAAACAGACCATGGGTGGGAGAAAGCAAGTAACACTATCCCCATACTACAGGCTGAGAACAAGGAAGAGAGCCAGGAAGTTATTTTCCCAGGATTTTACAGGTGGTCAGTGGCAAAACTGGATATTGAAAGCCTCTCTCTTCAGCATCCACCTGGTGCCTCAGTCACGACAGCACTGTATCTCTTTTAAGGACATTCTCTTTCATCCTCAGAGCGTTCTGGTAAGAGGAGTCTTTGACTGAAATGTATATACAGAGTTTATACAGTTTCAAGTTTCACTGAACCATGTTGTGCTTTGTCTCCCCCGTCTCTACTTCCAGCACCCTTGCAGTCACTTTTTGGTCTGAGCTCAAATTAACAGTACTACCACCTCTGTCTACAAAGACAATCTTTCTATTTACTCACAGTTCTGTTGGTGAAATTACTGAAGTTTGTCACTAAGATTTGCTTGATCATCTCTGGTGTGGAGACCACCACAAACATCTGGCGACCAATGTAGTACCTACAAAGAAAAAAAGTAGAGAGTTATTTTAGCAGATAACGTCAACCAGAGAAACACTACCTCTGTTGGCTTGAAAACACTTGCCATGAATAAATATAACAGAAAATATATTCCCTTAGGTAAACCAGTATCAGCATCATCCCTCTCAACTATTAAATAAAGATGCATGGTCCTGGAATTTAAAGGAAACAGTTTAAAATCTTTTACTCATGAATCAATACTCAGCCAACATTTTAACATACAGGTTTCCACACTCTATGCTTTTCATGAATTCTATACAAAGTGATGTAGTATCACTAAACTAAACTACAGAGGGGCAAAACATTAGTAACCAACAACCCAAACAATCATGAAAGACCTACAAAATTGATTACCCTTCATGTAGCCACATGCCTCCTGCCATGTCTTTCCATGGCAAAGCCCTGTCTACTATGAGCCTTTCCAGAAGTCCCGCCAGCGTGGGCACAGTAAAGGCATGCTTCCACCACCCCTACTAGCACTGGAATCAAGTGCATCTCAGACCCCAGGCTCTGCATTACCACAAACATAACCATCTAACAGAGACCACCTGAACCTTCGATAATACCAATGAGGAAAAAAAGAAGAAACAAACAAGGTACATCAAGTGTAAAGAAATTAATAAAACTTCAGAAGAAGACTGGATGATAAGAGTCTCTCACTCTGCTCATACACCCTCTATCTTCCGCTTACAGTTTAATCTGATCTTTGGAACCAAGGTCTGTCCTTGGGGGACTTCACACCATTGTGGATGCTGCAGAGGTACTGCGACCCACCCCAGCTCCCTGCAGGAGAAGGGGTGCAGGGCTCCCTTCTCCAGCAGCATTCCCCACAAGGTCCGTGCTTGGTGCAGGGAGAGGAAGGAGTAGCACCAGCAAGCAGAGGTTGCCTGCAGTCCCTACCTTTGCTGATTGCTGGACTATGTAGGCAGCGCTGACATTTCTCTGCCAGGAGAGAGGAAGAAGAGGCTGGAGGCAGGCACAGCAGGGCAAGGCAGCTCAGAGCAGAACATAAGTGCAATACCACAGATACTGCAATACCATAGTAATATCAATGCCTAATCATTTTGGTATGATATAGCTTAGTATCAATATATTGCTTATCACCTGTCTACACTGCAGCAACAGAACAGACAAACAAACCCTGGGCTGAATTAAATTTAGTAACTGGAGGTTCCCATGGCAATGAAGCTGCAGCAGCACTGATTTCACCAGGGGCAAACAAGTCAGACAAATATCTTGATTCCAAAGCAGGGTTTCATAGTTCACCTTGACCCCTGTACCACCAAAACTCATAACAAACAAATGGCAGAGAAGAATGAGAAAATAATTTTCTTCAGGAAGGAAGAGATCTTTTCTTCTCTGGTGGCTTTCAAGAGGGAACTGTTATTTCCCAAATCCAACCCACAGGCTCCACTCGAACCTTAGATACAGGTTGTACGATCTATTAAAATAAACCTTTTTCACCTCTCCCGGTTTGCTAAGCCACAGCAAAGTAACTGTCTGTTAACGGTCAAACTTTTCTTCAGAATCCCAATAGGTGCATAAGAAAGAGCTGAGGCCTCATTTTAAAGAGTGCTTTGATCACAGCCTTTGGCATCGGATAATGCCCTACATGCCCTTCCACATGTACTTTGTACCATTTCTCCGGTATTAGAGAGGCAAAGCAAGCTCCCAAAGCAAAGACCTATGCAGCTCCAAATCTACCCAGGATGATCAGTGATGAATACTGACCTCTCACACTCACACCTTGCTTTTCTCTTCCCCTCTCCAAGTTTACCAAGTTCCTTGTCTCTGTTAATGGTTAGTGACTGATGGTCCTCCAACACACAGCTTTTCATAGGGACCAAAACCCTAACACCAGATTCCAAATCTGAATCAGAAGCTGATTATGTCTACCCACACAGCTTAACCCTGACCACCAAGAGGCACCACACGATACATCATGAAAAGCACATGTGTGCATATGTGTGTGACACACTTCAAGTTTATCTCGAACTTGGGAAGCCATAGAGCTCCAGCTCCAGTCCACTAGAATAAGAGGATAGTACTCACAGTCGGAGCCCCTATGTCTCTGTGCACTTTGTGCCTGAAAGCATTCAGGACTAAAATGTGGGACAGAAGCATCTCCTACTCAATCTGCTTTTATGAGAAAGTGACTCAGGCCAAGCTTATGCAAACAAATCTATTCATCATCCTCCAACTCAACTCAGACCAGTCACCCAAACTCACAGTTCTGCTTACACAGCTAAGCTTTCTTTTTTATTTACTCTTCTCTATCCACAGGCACCTGTTTTTCCTTTCCTAATCTAGTTATAAATAAGGACAGAGAAGGAGAAAGAAGAGAAGGGAAAAACATCTCCTAAAATTAATAAACTGAAAATACTGAAAAAATATCTTAAATCACTTCTTAAGCAAAGTTCTGCCTGCTTTTAAGGAATGACTGCTGTAAAGCACACACAGACTACAATATTTTATTGTATCCCAAACAGTAAAAGCTCTCTCCCTGGCTTTTTTCCATTCTCCCACTTTATGTGTATAATCTTTCTAACCTTTTCTAGGACACAAGGAGAAGAGGGTATGTATGCACATGCTTTGGAAGTCAAAATCCACAGGCTAGAAGCATGACTGCCATCACCTTCCCTCAAAGTTAAGGAAAAAGAACAAGAATAGCTAACTATGAAACAAGATCATCTGAGCTATTTCATTTAGCAAACACAGGTCCAGAACCTGCAAAGACACCACAAATATGCTTAACTAAGTCTTAACATATTGAAAATCCTTTGCAGGATCAAGGCCTTGGTCACAAACCAAGAGGGTATCTCCTAACTAGATTTTTTTGTTGTTGTTCCTAAATGACAAGTAAAAGATAAAATCCTCCTGAACAACAATAATCTATTCTTCCCAAGTAAATCACTCATTCACCTCTGCCATGTAACTTCATTTTCATTCTGTATCACTACATGTGGATATCACCAGCCTCACATAGACTTAGATTTATTATTGAACAAAAACCAATATTCTTGTCAGATTTTAATAAATAAGAGTTTGAGAAAAACAAAAGCCTCCTGGCAAGCACATTACAAATAGATTAATGAATAATTTAGGACAGCACTTTTTATTACTTTTCTCTAGGTTAATCTTTTCACAGGGCTTGTCCACATACAGAAGTCCTACCTTTAACTATAGTGACACAGTACTATTATACTGCTTGACCCAAGCCTTTGTAGTATTTTTATGTAGGGCATTCAAGATGTAATACAAATGCTTGCGACCATCCGGTTCACTCTTGCACAGAAACAAGAACACATGAATGTAATGCAGCATCCTCAGAGCGATGCAACTCTGTCCACGTGGGAATCTGTTGTAACACTGCCATACCAGTAAAAATACATTTAATGATGCACACAGGAGTTTAATTTTCAAGTGTAGATGAGTCCTCAGTTATTTAAGTTACGCTGTTAGGGCAATTTCTATTAAATTTCTGTTTAAACTGCAGTCCTCCAAAATAGATGGAAAAAAAAATAAATCTACCAGCAACTTTAGCTCCGTTGGAAGGTGAGACAGGAAAGATCTGGTACCAGTACCTGAACAGCATGAGGACAGCATTTGCTTCCTCCAGCTGATGAAAGGGTGGGTGACAAGCTGTCGCCCCACTGGGCTGCCAGTGCAGAAGCAGGCAGCCCTGTGCTGCACTGTCCCCAGGAGGGCCAGGCAAAAAGTTTTTCAGAAGCATTCAATGGAGGGCATGGATTTACTCCCACAAGTTACGGAAAAGACAGGCTGCCCTCCAGGATATTTACCAAAGGGCTTGCAGGTCAAAGGAGTGGTTATGTTATAGTATATTGAGCAAAATAAGTCAATCTGCATTCAGAGCATTTTAATAATTTAAGAGGCTACAAACACCCAACACACTCAACTGCATCAGTCTGGTTCATAAGTGCAGACAAGCACCACTCTACAGCAATTAATGAAAGGGACAGACTTCTGCCTCGTGTTCAGGTTTCATCCAGGACATTGCAGTCCTCTTGGCAAATATTTGGTCATCTAGTAAACATCTATTTTCTTTTATCTGCAAGAATAAGCAGCAATTCAGCAATGATTTCTGCTGTTTTGAGTGTGCCCCACCATTGTTTTCCACAGAGATATAGCCCAGGTGTCCCAGCCCACACCTAGTGCCTGCTATGGCCACAGAAGTTACTCTATGGAGGTAAGAGATGCCTGAGACATGAACAGCCCAGCCATGAGCTGAGGAAGGAGCAGTGAGATGAGAGGCAGATTGGACTGCCCCGTCCCTCCTGCAACACCCAAGCACATCAACTGCCTTTCCAACATTTGCCAGGAAACTCGCCCTCCAGGAACGGAGACTTCTGTTCTCAGGCAATATAGTGGATCAATCAGCTACTTTTAATTTGAAGGACCAGTTTAGCATTATCCTTTCCATTTCCCCAGGGTCGCTCTGGTCACAATGCGTGGTCATCTCTTGCCAACAGCATCTAGCAGGTCCTAAGCCATGGATGTGCCCTCTGAGCAAAGCTCACAGCAACATCACCTTGCTGCACAGGAAAAGACAGAGTGCACATGCAGTACATGATGGCAAAGGGACATATGTTTTCACATAACACCTGTGTGGGAAACACCTGCAACCCTTTCACCTTGTTTATAGTGCTGCTGTCAATTCACAGAAGACTTTGATCTCCCTATCTATTATCAGTCCTATGTTTTACAAACACATCACATTAATCATAAAACATATATTCTGTTAGGCAATAAACAAGTCTTTGTTTTCTATGCTGCAGTCTGGTAAAGTACACAAAGCTCATCCGGAAAGCTAAATGAAAATAGAAAATTTTATTATCTCTGTCCTCCTCAGGGAAGAGCAAAGAACAAAGAGGAAGAAAAAAGGTGGGGGGGGGGGGGGGGGGGGGAAAGTAAAGACACCAAGATACAGGGAAAAGGCTAATTTTCTTAAGAGATACTTCC